TGCTTAAGTTTTTCTCTATAGCTCTTTTCCACAGAGCCCCTACTTGAGCACCCTTTGTTTCTAGGCACAAGAATATTAGAAGAGTCCCAAAGCCAGAGGTGAACTTCATACCCAGCAGAAGGAAGGGGATCTTTGCTTTTGCAAAAACAAAAACAGCTTTGCAACATTTGGTCACCCTGTATGCAGTCTCTATGGAAACTAGCAGCTCCCCTTGAACTTTTGAACTTTTACTATAAAACCCCCAACTTTTCTCCGCAGCAGACTCACAGTCTTGGAGGCATTACCTCACTGTGATTTCCTTTGCCTTGCAAAGAAATAAAGTTGCCTTTTCTACTTCATCCAAAACTCTGTCTTCAAGTCACAGTTTAGTAAGCACAGTATGGAGGCTGAGTTTCAGCAACATCATCTTGTCTATTTCCTGTCCCAGTCCTGGAATCTGCCATGTAGTGGGAAATGATATTAGAAATGAAGACTTGGGTGCTAAATGTGTTACACATTCATTTTTATTTCTTAGAACCTTATAGAATACAGCATATGCTTTTTTTCATCTAGCTTCTTTCACTCAGCATATTTATTTTAAGGTTCATCTTTATTGTAGTATGTGTCATTGGCTTATTTTATTTTTCACATTTTTTATTGAGTTATAGTCATTTTACAATGTTGTGTCAAATTCCAGTATAGAGCACAATTTTTCAGTTATACATGAACATATATATATTCATTGTCACACTTTTTTCACTGTGAGCTACCATAAGATCTTGTATATATTTCCCTGTGCTATACAGTATAATCTTGTTTATCTATTCTACACTTTGAAATCCCAGTCTGTCCCCACCCCCTGCCCCCTTGGCAACCACAAGTTTGTATTCTATGTCAATGAGTCTGTTTCTGTTTTGTATTTATGTTTTGTTTTGTTTTTTTAGATTCCACATGTGAGCAATCTCATATGGTATTTTTCTTTCTCTTTCTGGCTTACTTCACTTAGAATGACATTCTCCAGAAACATCCATGCTTGGAACCCTACTTCAAAATGACACCTGCACCCCAATGTTCATAGCAGCACTATTTACAATAGCCAAGACATGGAAACAGCCTAAATGTCCATCAACAGATGACTGGATAAAGAAGATGTGGTATATTTATACAATGGAATACTATTCAGCCATAAAAACTGACAACATAACACCATTTGGCTCATTTTATTTTTTATTGCTGAGTAGTAATCCATTGTGTGGATATACTGTAGTTTGTTTATCCATTTACCTGTTGATAAACATCTGAATTTTTTCCAGTTTTTTAATATCACAAGTAAAGCTAC